TGGTTGAATGGACACGGGAAATCCGGGGTGGAAAAGAGGAGTGTGCTGTCACAGTACAGGGAGAGCAACAAGGGTCACATAACAATGTGTGTATAAATTTTTGTATGAGAGACTAACTTGAAATGTAAACCTTCATTTAAAGCACAATAAAAAAAATACGTGTTGTTCATAAATTAAGGAAACCACAGATTTTAATTAAAGAACGTAAAATAAGACCTGAAAAAAATAGATACAGATACCGAGTTCGTGGGTGTGAAGTTTTCATATTGCAAAGACAGTAATTTCCAAAAATTACTTTATAAAGATAATACAATTCTAATTACAAAACCTCAATCATTTTAATGCAATTATTTAATAAAATTGTTCTTAAGTTCATCCAAAAGACTAAACTCTTAAGAGTTATATTCTAGAAAATTATCATTTGGAAACTCTCACAGTAATATTGATTGAGGCAAGAATCAACATTTACGCTAAAACTAGTGAGTGAAAGTTTGATAAGATACTACAGAATTTTGAAGTAATTCACACATAATACATATTAATTACAATGAGAAAATAGTAATTAATAGCAGACAAACATGGCAGGCATCATCTTAACTAAATGATCCAAGTTAACATCACCGGTAATACGACAAAAATATATCATGTGCCTTCTGATACAATGCACTGAGAAGAACACAGCATCATTTCTGTGACAATCCTGCCAAAAATGCACAATCTCAGTCTAATCATGAAGAAATGTCAGACAAATCCAAATTCAGGGACTTCCTGCAAAATAACTGGCCCGTACCCTTCAAAAATATCAAGTTTATGAAAGACAAGTCTGAGGAATTGTTCAAAAATAAAGGAAGCCAAAGAGACATGACTCTTGAATGCAGTGTCTGGTCTGCAATTTTCTTTCGCTACAAAAGACATTGGGACAATCAGCAAAATTTGAGTAAGTTCTGAAGATTAGCTAATAGTATTGTATTAATGTTACTTTCCTGATTTCGATGATTTTACTGTGGCTATGTAAGAGATTGTCCTTGTTTTTAGGAAATACACACTGAAGTACTTAGGAGCAAAGGGGCATCACATCTGCAACTTGCAACTTACTCTCAAACAGTTAAGAAAACATATATATATGTATGTGTATATATCTGTATATATATTCATATATAAATATGTGTGCTTTGTGTGTGTCTATGTGTGTATATATATGTAGACAGAGAGACACTGTGTGGTACAAATGGTTAATGTATTCACCAGCTAACCAAAAGGTGTGAGATTTGAGTCCACCCAGAGGTGCCTTGAAAGAAAGGCCTGGCAATCTACTTCTGAAAAATCAGCCATTGAAAACCCTGTGGAGTACGGTTCTACTCTGACACATGCAGGGTCGCCATGAGTCATGATTGACTCAATGGCAATTGAAGATATACATAGAGAGAGAGAGACTGACAAAGCGAACATTGTAAGATGTTAACACTTGGGAAATCCAGTGAAGGATATATGGGATATCTCCGTGCTATTCTTACAACCTTCTATAAATTGAAATTGTGTCAAAATACCAAGTTTAAACTAAGGGCTGCATCCTGAGGGCAGCTTTTGCTCCAAGTTTCAAGGAGGACACCTCACTATAGTCCTCATTCTCAGATAAAAACTAATCTTATAATCAAAAACTTACATAAACACGTATGTGCATACATACCTACACATTTGGATATGTACAAGCCTGTATAATATTTCATTCATGAAAAAAATAAAGCAAGCAGAAGACAATCATGACAGAGATTTACAATGGTTACAACATTCTCCTGCATTTGTTTCAGCCCTTGAGGCAAGTGTGTCAAGGCGTCTTCAGTCACCTGGGGGCAGAGTTAAGTCTCCCCTTCGCAAGTCTAGTTCCGTGAGGAGTGAGGGGGTTTAAAAAATAAACTTCTTGAAGGTTGATACCTAAATTTTACAAAATGACAGTACATAGCATCAAAGATATTGTAGAAGTGACAAGACCTTCCTTCTGATCTGATTTCATCTGGATACAAACTCTACTGAGGCTTTATTAAACCATTTCTGAAGATTCAGCTATGCAAGAGAAGACAAAAGCACTTCTACTTCTTGGGAAAACTGAGAAAGAACGTGCGACCCATCACGGTCAGTTAAAAATTGCCATCTCTATTCAGAGTTCATTAGACAGGGCAATGAGAACTTGTGCCTTGCTTGAATGCACACCCCCACCCCCAGATGTCTGGAGCCCACGACAGAGACAGAGGCTCTCTAAGCCATCACATAAGCTGAGAATGCTCAAGGCTCTGGAAACCCCAAACAATAATTACTACTTCTGCCAGCTGGAGTGAAACCAACCATACTCAATGCCTCTAAAAGAGACAAAATCTGTTCTTTTTGTTTGGGGGAAACCAGCACTGGAAATCATCACTTACCAGACCTACATCTAGGCCCTCAGGCAGTGAGGGAATCTCTACAAACACAAATGGAAACCAGTTCTAGGTGCCTAATGGGAAAACTAAATTGAACTTCATTAGAAACTGAACATGGCCCAGCTGATGATGGAAGGCTCAGAATCCAGGCCTTGTTTTTCAGAGTTGTTGTTGTCGTTGGCTGTTGTCCAGTCAGCCCCCAAATCATGGGGACCTCATGCACAGCGGGATACATTGCTACCTGGTCCTGTACCATCCCCCCATGATGGGTTATGGATCAGACCATTGTGATCTATAGGGGTTTCATTGGCTGATTTTGGAAGCAGATTGCCAGGCCTTTCTTCCTAGCTGTCTTAGTCTGGAAGCTCCACTGAAACCTGTTCAGCATCATAGCAACATGCAAGCCTCCACTAGTAGATGAGTGGTGGCTGTGCCTGAGGTGCATTAGCCAGGAATTGAACCCAGGTCTCCCACATGGAAGGTAAGACTCTGCCACTGAACCACAACTGCCCTCACTTCAGAGTAGTAGGGTGCTGCTGTGACTGAGTTTCCCCAAAAAGCAGAATCTGAGGCAAAGGATAGAGTCCAGGTAGTATATTTTGAAAATGGTCCAGGGAACAGAGTAAAGGAACTGGGGAGAGTACAAGAGAGGAGAAACACAATCAAGGGTGGTAATTGAGATGGTGACTTCCGCGGGCAACTGGGCACAGTTCTGGTGGGCCCTCTGAGGAGCTATGCAGAATGTACTTCAGAACCGTCTGCTCAAGACATGGGAGAGGGAAGTTTTATTTATTAGCTTCCATCCCCTCTTGGCCAGGGGTTATTTTAGGGGTGTTAACTCCCTCATGGAGTTCCTGGGTGGCGCAAACAGCAAAGTGCTGGGCTTCTAACTGAAAGGTTGGAGGTTTGAGTTCACCCAGAGGCACCTTGGAAGAAAGTTCCAGTGATCTACTTCCAAAAAATCAGCCATTGAAAATCCTATGAAACACAGTTCTGCTTTGACACACATGGGTCACCATGAGTCAGAATTGACTCGATGGCAACGGGAAGAAGCACATATTAATAATAAAACTAAACCAAGAAAACCTGTTGCTGTTGAGTCAACTCCGACTTATCGCGACCCTATAGGACAGAGTAGAACTGCCCTGTAGGGTTTCCAAGGAGCGGCTGGTGGATTCAAACTGCCAACCTTCTGGTTAGCAGCCGAACTATGTGCAATTAATTAAGCATTTATGTGCCACACCTTATATTAAGCCCACATTATCTCATTTAAACCTCAGAGCAACCTCAAGCGATACGCACTATGATTTCCACTTTATAAAGATAGAAAGCAAGGCCAAATTGGTTAAGAAACTTGTCCAAGATTACAGAGCTAGCCAAGTGGAAGATCCAGAGCCCTCTGTATCTTCATTGTATTCAAAACTTTTCTCTGTGAAGCCAGGATTCTCTCTGGGCCCATTGGTTACAGTTCAGCTCCTTGGACCTCACAAAGCACCTCATTCCTCAAATGTTTGCAGGCTCCGCAGGGAAGTGGGAAGCTCCTGGCCGCTGGAGGAGGACAGGATTATAGATGAATGTAATGTTTGGGGGAAAATTAAAGTTGGAGATAGAAAAAGAAAACTAAAAAAAAAAAAAAATGTGTGTCAAGGAAGAAAAGTTCAGTGGGAAAGAGAATGGGGTGGATCAGGGTGGGATGTGAAAGTCAAAATGAAAGTCTACCTCTGAGAAGGGTAAGGCTGGTGCAAAGGAGAAAACATTCAGGCACTCTGCAAACATTTGGCAGGAACACTGTTATTCACCATTATTCTCTTACAGCCAAAGCAGCAGTGAGCGTAACGCTGGCAGGTGCTCAGGAAATACCGGGTGAAATACCCTGGCCTTCCTATTTCAGTTTTGAAGAATGTCTTCTGGCTCTTTCACACTAACTTCAGACCAAGAAGTTCTTCCTCTCGCAAGAGAACAAAGAGAGACACATTCAAAAAGACAAGCAGAAAAAAAACAAATTTCAACGACTACAAGATAGATACTTAATTCATTACTTGATTCATTAAATGCTCAGCACTCTGTCATGGAGCAGCATTACTCAAAGCCTGGTCCACAAACCAGGAGTATCAGCATTCCTGGAAGCTTGCTAAAATGCAAATTCTCGGGCCTCACCCCAGAACTCCTGAATTATAATCATAATATTTCTCTGTTAGGCCCAGAAGTCTGTATTATTTTTTCCACTAGGAAATAATTTTTATTGCGATCCCACCAGCTGCACAATCTATTCCTTCTTCCTTCTCAATTCTGTCTTTCTGAAGTGGTCCCATGAATGCTTTCTTCTCTTCCATAGTTTGGAAGCAGCCAAGGCCAAACTTGGAGGTGGTGTCGATGAACTTGAGGTCAATCTTCTCCAGGGCCCGGCGTTTTGTCTGTACCAGCAAGGACTTTCAAAGAGTGAGCACTCGCTTCTTGGTTCCCACCAAGCAGCCTTTCAGCATGACAAAGTCGTTGGTTCCTTCACTGTAATGAACAAAGCCACCCAGAGGTTGACGCTCTTGTCAGACAGATTGTAATCGGTGGAGGCATTGTTTTTGATCAGAAAAAAATATGGAACGCTTCACGAATTTGCTTGTCATCCTTGTGCGGGGCAACTCTAATCTTCCCTGTATCATTCCAATTTTAGTATATATGCTGCTGAAGCGAACACCAGAAGTCTGTATTTTAACAGCTCTCCTGGAGATTCTTCTGCACACTAGCACAAATAGTTAAGGTGCTTGGCTACTAACTAAAAGGTTGGTAGTTCGAGTCCACCCAGAGGAGTCTTGGAAGAAGGCTTGGAGATCTACTTCCAAAAAAATCAGCCATTAAAAAATCCTACGGAGTGCAGTCTTGGACAGCCATGAGTCAGAATCAACTCAATGGCAACAAGTTTGCAGTGGAGGACTCAAGAGAATGTGCAAAGAACTCAACAGAATATCCACCAAGCAGAAGAAAGGGCCCAAATGAGACAAAAGCATGGTTGTAAAAAGGATTGGCTCAGACTCCCATCACAATTTTCCTTCTTCATGCTTAGTAGCCCAGGAGTGGGAATGGACATCCCCTACCCTGAGTCTCGACTCCAACAAACACATAGAAACAGAAGAGAAATTAATTGTCATGCCCTGCAGATTGCCTTCTATGGTGGACTTTTTTTTTTAAATTGATTAGTTTATGTTTTGCTAATTTATTTTCAGCTATTGTTGTAACTATTTAAAGTGAGCTTGATCCAACCATTTCTGTAAGCAGAATATGAAATGCTCACAAATGTGGACATCCTGATACAATTGTGGTCAAGGGACCCGGCATTCTGTGCCTGCACAGTTGTCCGAGAACAAAACCACCCTAGCAAATCGTCAACAAATTGTTACTCAGAAGCAAGAGGGAGATGCAGTGGACAGATTGATAAATCATGAAACCTGTTTGTACCAAGTGAGAAATCCAGTCAATACTAAGTCTCTAAAATGGTCTTTAATTCTGGCTAAAGAATAAGCATGGTTAATTGTACGTCCAATTTGGATAGTTGTTAAAATTTGCCATTTATAAATCACTATTCTATAGTGATAAAAGTAGTCTATAGCATAAAAGAAGTCATTAAAAAGCTTTCAGGTTAAAAAAAAAAATCAGTGCTCTGTGTGTGAACTGATGTGATGACTGCAAGAGTCCGCTCAGAGTGGGAACAAGATTTCATTAGACAGATGTCTGCCCTTGAGTTGACTCCAACTCATGGCAACCCCACAACCCCACGTACAACAGAACCAAATGTTGCTTGGTCCTGTGGCATCCTCACAACTGCCAGTACGTTCAAGTACATCACTGCAGCTATCGTGCCAATCCATCTCACTGAGATGTCTCTCACCCTCAGTGGCCTTCTACTTCCCTAAAAATGGTGTCCTCATTCAGCAATTGGTCCCTCCTTATGATGTGTCCAAAGCAAGTTAGTCAGACAATGTTCCATTGTGATCCACAGGGTTTTCACTGGCTCATTTTTGGAAGTAGATCACTAGGCCTTTCTTCCTAGTCTGTCTTAGCCTGGAAGCTCCGTGGAAACCTGTTCACCATGGGTGACCCTGCTGGTATTTGAAATATCAGTGGCATAGTTTCTAGCATCACAGCAACACGTAAGTCGCCACATCACGACAAACTGACAGACGGGTGGTGGAAGAAGCAAGTGAGACAGCCTGAAGTTATCCTTGTTGTAGTAATGAAGGCGCAATGGTCACTGTTGGTAGTATGATCCTTTTGTGCTTCTGGAGTTGTGCTTTGCAGCAAAGTGAGATGGAAAGAAGTAATTTTTTTTTAAGTTTTTATGAAGGTCTCCACTACATTGGGTCGCTATGAGTCAGAATCAACTTAACTGCACTTAATGATAGTTTAACAAACCACTACTCTGACGGTGGATAGCTGCCCTGAAATTTCAGTTATCAAATATTTTTTAGAAAGCTAATTATTTAGCCTTTCAGGAACAAAGCAGGAGGGAAAGGGATTGGACCTGAAATGAGAGGATCTTAGACCTTAAAGCAAGGAGCCCTGGTGGCGAAGTGGTCACGAGCTCTGCTGCTAACTGAAAGTTCAGCAGTTTGAGCCCTCCAGCTGCTCTGAGGGACAAAGAGGTAGCAGTCTCCTGCTGTAAGGATTACAGCCTTGGAAACCCTATGGGGTAGCTCTATCCTGTCCTACAGGGCCACTATGAGTTAGAATTGACTTGAGGGCAATGGGGACCGTGATGGGTAGTCCTTAAAGTGGCCTCATTTCACCTAGCCCAACTCTGCCCCTTACAAATAAGGTTACTGAAGCTCAGGAAGATGTGGCAGCTTGCCCAAGCCCTAAGGTGCAAAAGTGACGAAGCCATGACTTCCACCAGCTAGGTGTGGTTCTCCCATTAATACCTCCAGAGTAACCGGATTATGCATTTGAGAGTTTAATTTCAGGGTTAGAGCACACTGCTGCCTTGTTTTTCAATATCGCCAGTTGTCAGAAAGGTAATTTTCCAGGTAAATGAATCTAAGCCTTTTCAAATACTAGATTTCAAAGCACTTTGTGGATGAAAATGTTTCTAAAATAACTTGCCACCTCCATCTTCCTAAACAGAGACTACTGAACACAAAGTTCATTGTGAACTTGGAATACTCACTCCACAAACATTTGTTGAGTGCCCACGATGTATGGAAATAAATAATTATAAGCCCCCAATATTTTGTATTTGGCCCTGATTGGATTAAATTTAAATTCAGTGGTCCAAGTTCATTCTGCAAGAACTTAAGAGAAATTCTCAGTCGTTTTAGATCCAAGGCTTTTTGGGAGTGAAAAGCATAGTGATAAGAATCAGCATTTATATTAGATAGACAAGAATGTATGTTAGTGGCTATGATTTTTATAGATACGATAAAAAAAGAAGTCAAATTTATTTTTATTCTAATTCTTGACCTATTAACCTGAGTTTCTCAGATTGTTTACTGAGCAGATTAAAAACTTTCTTGTAATATTGATGGATTTGTTTTAATAATTCAAAGAACTGTGTATTCGTGATTCTGAAACAATGAATGTTTGCTACGGAATTTGTATTGTATGTTAAAAAAAAATAAAAAAACATGCTTCCACTAACACTTTTGAACTGTTGGGTTTAGTAGGAAGATTTTACTCACTTTGTAAAGATTAAACTGCTGACTAAAGATGTAGTTCTAATTAACTCAACCAGTATTTAAAAAAAAAAAAAAAACAAACCAACACTGTAGACTCTGTTTACATTAGGAACAAATTTAAAAGTAGTCCCTACTTGAAATAAAGTTATTTTACAAATGAAATAAAAGAAACTCTAACAAAGTAATTCTAAGACAAAATGGAGAATCTCAATTTAACTCCACAGAGATACTGACCTAGAAGCAGTGAGATGAAGCAAGCAGGGATGCTGATCTCCTGCATCTTATAATGGGGAAGACATATTGAACAGATGATAGCATGTAATGAATGTTATTAGGAAGAACTACATGAGAAGAAAACACTAGAATATGTAGGAAGGCCATCTACCTCCTCTGGGATGATACAAAAAATGACCTTGAACAGGACGGTTCGATAGAAATATAATGTAAGTCACAAATGTGAGTCAAATATATATAATCCCAAATTTTCCAATAGCCACATTAAAAAAGTAAAAAGAACCAGGTGAAACTGATTTTAACAATATATTTTTAACCCAATATATCCAAAATATTATCATGTGAATACATAATCAATATAAAAAATATTAATATTTGCATCCTTTTTTTGTACCGTCTTTGAAATTCAGTGTGTATCTTGCACTTACATCACATCGCAATTCAGAGTAGCCAGAATTCAAGTGCTCGATAGCCACATGTGACTCGCAGCTATCATATTAGGCAGTGTGTCTCTTGAGACTTAAAGGGTGAACAGAAATTTTCTAGGAAAAGGAGGAAAGCTGCAGAGAAAATCATTAAAAGCAGAGTAAACCACAGGGGCGAAGGCCCTGTTTTTGGAAAGTGTGGGACTAATTCAAGGAACTGAAAGCTGATGGTCATATGGCTGAACTGGAAATAACACAGGGTCTGCCAAGTACGCAGGGGCCAGATCATGCTTAGCCTTACAGACCATATTAATAATGATGAGTTTTATTCAAAGGGCCATGGAGAGTTTTAAACAGGAGAGTATTATTAACAGGTTTTCATCTTGAAGTGGTCAGTTTGACATAATAGTAAAGGATAGATTGAAGAGGAAACAGGAGTGGAAGTGGGTAACCCATTACTATTAAGGCAAGCCTCATATCATTGATTCTGACTAACAATGATATGATAGAAGTGGATAGGCCAGCCAAAGGAGTGATAACGGTGACTTACTTAAGGGTAGGAAACCCTGGTGGCATAGTGGTTAAGAGCTACAGCTGCTAACCAAAAGGTCAGCAGTTCGAATTCACCAGCCGCTCCTTGGAGACCCTGTGGGGCAGTTCTACTCTGTCCTTTAGGGTCGCTATGAGTCGGAATCAACTGGACAGCAACAGTTCCTTAAGGGTAAGGAATCCCAGGGTGGCACGAACAGTTAAACACTCAACTACTAACAGAAAGGTTGGTGGTTCAAGTCTACCCAAACGTGCCTTGCAAGAAAGACTTGGCAATCTGCTTCCGAAAGGTCACAGCCTTGAAAACCCCATGGAGTGCAGTTCTACCCTACAACACATGGGGTCACCATAAGTCAGAATCAACTCAATGAAAACTGGTTTTTATTTTCTTAAGTGTGCTGACAATAAGGATAAAAATAAGGGGACAGACTTGAAAGATCTTTAAGTAACACCATCAACAGACCTGTATGACTGATTAGATGTGGAGAGTGGGGAAGAAGGTGGAATCAAGGAAGTGTTTAAGGCTTCAGGTTTAAACATCTAAGCAGAGAGTAGTACCATTTTCACATAGAGGGAGTATCAGAAGAGGAGAAGTTTTGGTCACTTGGGAGAGGGAGGATTATACAGACAGTTTTGGACATACTAAATTTAAAACCTAAATGTCCACCAGAATGATAATAGATAAATAAATTAGGGCATATGCTGACAATGGACTACGTTGCAGCTTTTATAAAGGTGAAATTATATGAAGAGATATGGAATATTCTCCAAGTTATATGGTTAAGTGAAAAAAGCAAAGTACAAACAAACTATATAGTGTG